ATCTTCTCGTAGATCTTCTCCCACACGCGCGGCACCCCAAAGAAATAAGTCGGACAGACGTCCTTCAAGGTGACAGGTAATGATCCGCGCAGCGCATCCGGCTGCGCGAAGTAGATCTTGGCGCCCGTGGCAATTGGACAATGGATGTCCAGCATCTGGGCGGCGACGTGGGAGAGGGGAAGGTAAGAGACCGAGCGATCCTCGCACGTCAAGGTGAAGGGCAAGGAGGCCACAAAATTCTTCACAGTCCAAGTCAGATTGTCGTGCGAGATCATGACGGCCTTGGGCGGCCCCGTAGTGCCAGATGTATAGATTAGCGTGCAACAGTGCCCGGGCCGCTGGGCTTCGATGCGCGCGCGAACAGCTTCATCCTTAACGCCGCTCCCGAGAGCCATAAAATCCTTCCACGAGTATATAGGGACGTCACACTTGTAGCCTTCAGCTGTGCCACTATAAATTACAAGAGCCTTAAGTCGGGGAAGCTCTTTGGCAATCTTCAGATATTTTTCAAGCTGTTTCGCGTTCTCCACAACCACTACCTCCGCCTCAGAATGCTCCGTAATGTATTTACACGCATCAACGCCATTAGACGTGTAAATACCGACTCCCACACCACCGGCTGCGATAGCGCCACAGTTGGCAATGAGCCATTCGGGGGAGTTGAAACCGATTAAATTAATGGCACCATGCGCAGGAAATCCTAGAGACAAAAGACTTTTGCAGAATTCTAAGGTGAGATCGTAGTACTCGCGCCACGTATAACTGCTCCATTCAGTTGTCGCAAGGCTGCCGCCATGCGGTACCTTCTTGTAATGCAAAGCTGGGGAGTCGCCGTACTTTTTCACCGTCTCCTCGAACACCTGAAACACGGTCTTCGGCGCCCACGAACCCGGTCCTTCCTTCTCAATCCGCAAATCTACTTCACCAGAGGCCACCGTCGTAGTATATTTGGGCATGCCTATCGATCTCGAGCTTATGCAAGCTAAAAGTTTGATCTGAAGTCGATGTGGAGCCAAATGGCACTTTCCGGTTCACCGGTACTTGCAAGTGCAGACCTGCTGCCACGGGATAGAGAGGAGAAGGTCAGCGTGAGAGCACAAAAGTGAAGAATGCCTGGAAAATCCACCTCATTCGTACAAATCATAACAAAAATGTCGCGGATGGAATGTCTGGCGGGTCCAAGGAGAGAGAATTCGCTCGGCACGCCATTTCCTACCAATCCGCGTCAGGATTTCTTCTCTCCTCCTCCTTCTTGGTTTCCTTCCCGGCCACCCCACTCTGCTCCGCTTTTACACGCGCGCATACGTAGTCAGACTGAGTGAAACCCAACGTAAAGTAAAAGGGAGCACGAAAACGCGTGTGCCCCCGGCAAACGCCGCAGGGACCGCCTCGCGAGGCCCGGGAAGACAGCGAGGGGTCCGGTAGCCCGGGGCCGCTGACGAGGGAGGGATGTGCCGGACGCCGGGCTAGTACCGGCATGTGCCCGGTTCTTGTCAGGCGGGGCGGACCCCGCTCCTTTGAAGGGTTTCCCCGCATTGACAGCGAGATGCCTTTGTAAGGAATTTTAAAAGCCCTTGCTGCCAGGATCGATTGATCTTCATCCAGCATAGACGACTCTGGGGTCTTCGCAGGGAGAGAGTAGCGGATCAGCCCTTGTTCTGGCTAACTACTATGGTGCCCAGCATATCCGCATTCTCCTCTTGCTACAGAGTGATTAATGTTTTTAATCATTTCTTTATCGTGCTTGTTTTATGATTGGGAAGGGTACTTTGGTGATATTTACTCCTATCTTTTTACCCCTTTTTCCTCTGCGAACAGGGGACTCTGCCGGTCCCGAAAATCGTCTACAATGGACGCTTCGGTCACAGGGTAGAATAAAAACCTTTAGATCCCGATATAAGAATCGTGATAGTAATTTCCGCAGTAAAAAGATCGTAATCCAGAGAGTCAGGCCCCTTGTGGCGACTGGGCACGGCTTTGTGCCTCAAAAACTCTGGTAAGCGGCTTCCCAACATCTTGTGACACGGGTCAATGCCTCATTCCAAGTTTAATTGGCGGTCAACATCATCGCCTCCTTCGCAAAATCCTGATGGACTTTTTGCCTTCGCGTTTGGAGACACTTGGAAGCTTACGGATTATACCCTCGTAAAACCGGAAAATGCTAAAGGCTGCACCCTCGATGTCTCTCTCGAGCATGACTCCAAAGTCACACAGCTGCAGGTCGTGTGTAATGCCTCAGCACTGCAAGTTAGCGTGATGCAGGCTATGAATGCTCAAGATTTTAAGTGGATTACCCAGATGCGCGGTACTCCTTTGCCAAATCAACCAGACTTGTATTATTTTAGAACCCCCGAGGAGCTTCTCACTCAAAAATTGTGGCGGCTGCGCGTCAAGTTTCTCTTCTCATCAACAGACATATCGGCCGTTCGTATTCAAACCTTATCTCTCTCATTTGAAAAATTGACGCGTCGAGGTAGTACCATCAAGGGCATGGTCACCAGTAGTAGCATCAGGAGTTCAGCCGGTGTTGCTCGCACTGGCATGACGGCGGTCGCAGCATCTGCTGGTGGGATTGCCACTAGCAGAAGTAGTCACACCACACATTCAATTTTGTACAGGGGAAGCTCAATGAGTACAACTACGAGCACCACGGCTTCACTGACGAACACACCCACGGGCTCTCACACTCCTACCTCCGACTCTGTGTGTGGTGACGGCGACCTGGTCTCTGACCTCTCGGAAGAAGCCAGCACAGGCTCATTAGGTAGTGGTCCGAAAAGTAACACGAGTAGTGCAAGCGGCAGTGAGAGTAGGGAAGGGCGAAGGACATCTAAGATTTCAGATAGAGGGGCCATACGGGCACTAATGAGTGCCATCGACAAGGTAATATCACAAGGCGGGAATGATGGTGCATTGGTTGATGAGCTTTTGCTCTTGAAGGAGCGTTTAGACAATCATCTAGTGCAGCGCTCTTCTGAGCAGCACTTGAATGCAACTATCGCACGAATTAGTTCAATAATTCAATCCATTGTCATGTGAAGGGGGGGTAATGCAGTGTCTATTGAGGACTCAAGAAGTTTCTGGAAGTTCGAATGCACAACACATTTCGGCACGACTATACTTCAAATCTGCACTAGAGTGATTGAGAAATTTGGAAGAAGTCAGAATAGAATACATGCCTACTGAGGGATTCTTGAGACAAACGGGAAAAAGTATCGTTTCCAAATCACCGGGAATCACATCTGAGAGAGTTAGTCAGTTTTGCAATTAGGCTATGCATAGTTCCAGAGTGAGAGGAATTGTGAAGAAGGCAGAAATGAGGGAAACATCCTTTCTGTCTCCATTTCGCATGGGAAGGGTATCCTATATGTATGAAAACCATGGAAATAATCACATACAATGGTCTTGACCATGAAAAAGAAACAATCGTGCAGAAAAAGAGACAATTTGGTGTACGGTCACAAAATCCATCAGACGGAAGCGCAAGAGCTCCTTAAGCAATGCAAGGCTACTTGCTACTTCTCTTGGGGTTTTTACACTCTAAAAATCTGCGAGGAATTTGATAGATCCAACGATGTGACAAATGCTTACCGCAATTATACATATTACATTTCTTCTCCAAACGCGGTAAGGTATATGAAACCCTGCACCTCTTCCATGTTTTCGTTTTTCATAGAAGCAATACCTCGTGCGATTCAGGCCCTTCCCGGTAGAAAAACCGAAGGGCTCGGTCCACTTTATCTTGCCGGATATTGTAGATTGGATTTGTGATTTCCTTGTGATATGAAAGGAGAGACAATATCTTATATTGAGAAATGACTCAATCGCATGCTTTAGACAGTTTCGAACGCATTTTGGTCACTACCCTTTTCTCATCGAAATGAACGTTACCAAATCCTCTATAACGATTCTCAACCCACCACACATTGAATCTGACCACGTATTGTATCTGATACGACTTACCAACAGGTTTCCGATATCACCGTACACAAGCGGGTGTCCGCAAGGATTGAGACCTCTCGCATTTTTTGATTCCTTCAAGGAGTCCATTTGACCCCATTGGGCACAGCTCAATCCTGAAAGATTGTAGCACGTATGATAAAAGTCACGCGGTTTGTCCGGCTTATCGCGGAGTCCACCGTCAAGAGCCTGAGCACAATGAAGGATATAACGCTGGAGCGCATGTTGACTTAGACATTCCAAGTTTCCTCCAACATGACACGATGGCTCAATATTGGGCATGTCACTTTTCATCGCAGTTTCCCTTGGACATACTGAGCGGAGATCTGTAGTGTCACCAAAGTCCTTTCCAGAGACTCCAGAGTCTCTCAGATCTTCAGTGTAAGATTGCGGAGCGCAGAGCACGATTCTTCCGTCATTCTCTTTCCTCCAACCCACAACCTTTCTTGTCTCTGTTTCCCCATGTAGAGCCATCTCAACTAAAATCGCTGTGGCTCCTTGCCAAAAGGAATAACAACCATCCACAAGTTTATTTGTCCGTCCCTGGAAACCGCCTTCTACGCTCATTTGACGTCGAGCAATCCACCCCTGTAAAGAAAAAAGATCTACACCATCTGTCTCAGACAAAATAATCAATGCGGCAAACGCACAGAATACGTATCCGCCGTGTGCCTCTTGATCAGTTTCCCCTCCAAAGCCACCCTCATATGTTTGACAGGAGAGGAGGTATTCGACAACGCCCGCAGCTAGCTGGGGGGTCAACATATTCAGCATCGAAGCTATCGAAATGACTGTATACGTGCCCCGAACGTCAACTTCCCTGTGCAGCATGATAAGCGGACAGCAGCAGATCAAATTTTACATCGCAGTAAATAGAAACGCGAAAGGGTCCAGTCACGTCAAAGTTCAGTAGTATTTTTCAATTGGGGGAAATTGTTCATACATCAAGAAGTATTTCCATGTTGTTATTGCAAGATGCTACAATGCCCACACAACCCTTTTTCGTCCAAGTCTCTTGCAAGGAGAAGAGCCATGCAGACAGCTTCTGTTTCCAGCGCTGCCTTGGACAACCCAAAAACGCTTCAAATTTTAATCGACGTACCCGTCATCGTGCATACAAAAACCACCTGACAAATGTTTTCGTGCAAGAAACCACTTATAAAGCGCCGGGCGATCTATAGTCTTATAGGCCTCTTCCGTACCGAGTATGAGTAAGGCAAGCACTGCCGCATATGTTGGAGCGCAATGCGATATCTGATAAGGTCCGCCACCGAAGCCTCCCCCGGAGTTTTGGCATGAGTTCATTGTAATTGTGACTTTCCGAGCTAAATCAGCGCGAAAAATCGAATGACTCCTCGACTCAAGGCCCCGCAGTAGATCGAGAGAGTGGAGAATCCAATAACACAGCCATGGTCGGCTCGCGTCAAGACAGATAAAGCCAGGCCCTAAGTGTGTAAGTCCCTTCATAAGATACGCGACATGTCTTTCCCGAAGAAGGCGTATGTCCCCGCTATCATTGAATAGACCAGAGGCTTGAAGCTTTCCGCGTGAAGACTAACAAATAATGAATCAGATAATGACAGGTATGATAACAAGTTTTGGGGTTGTTAGGGCGTGTTCGATGTGAACTTAGTTGTTGTAAACAGCAAAAATTACGCGAGGCACTTAGAATTGTCAATCTTGCCACGGTCTGACAGCTAGATGCGTATTCTTGCTGGAGTTCTGCCGTATGTGTAAAAATACTTGAAAGTCGATAGACACTCGACCGTACACTCACCTGGTCGAGATTACACCATGAATTCAAAAGAGAGGTGCAAGAAGCCTCACATTCTGCCTATATATACGAAAATAGGTGTGCATTTTAGGACGCATACCCATGCATACTTCACTATGTATTATGTTGTTTCCTAACCTCCAGCTTGCCCTCACCTGCTCTTCTTCGGTCCGTGTCTTTCCAACCACACGTGATAGAGGACGGGAGGCGCATGGCAGACTGGTCATAATAAGTTTCCTTCAAAAGAATCGAGTATGGTTTGGAATAGTTGTCATTATAAAGTTCAACAAACTTCTTTTGAGGACGCACCGGCACTCAGGTAGTGTCGCTCCCTTGACCAGGAACGCCTACCATTGCCCGAGCTTCATGGCACCTGATTTTCGATGGTACAAATCTCAACCTCTTTCGAGTTCTTCGCCGTTGTTGTACCCTTTACCTAGTGTTTCACATGAAGGTCGCGCGCTGGCACGCTGGTTGCTGTTGAAAAAGAAAAATCGACAGGTCTTGGCGAGCGAGACCGACTACTAGTAGTAGGGCAAGGGCAACGCACCGCTACGACTCGTAACCTACGAGTCCCCAAAAAAAATCAAAAAGCCTGGGCTTGGCGAAGTCCTGTTTTACCGTTGTAAGAAAGATCGTCACGAGGATGCCTATGACCCCTCGAGAGGTCCGAAGAAATTCTTCTTTACGAGATGATGCTGTTGCCGGGAATCGTCTCACTCATGACTTCAATCTCTCTCTATCTCATCACCACGCAGCTTCTTCATTCATGTGCTCTATATCTGGAAAGAGTTCGATACTGCTAGTGGCTGTCATTTTACTGTCAAAAGATATCACGTCCACCAGATCCTTCCGGCTGCCTTTATCATACGTCAAACGCGTATACATTCCTCCATGCAATGCTCAAGCATTCTTGCCACTACTATCCGTTTCTCAAGCTACCTCACGTCATTCGAGCCTGCTGGGCCTGATAAGATTACCTATGAGGGTGCCACGGACTGCTGCATCCGATGAGACTGGGCTCGGTGGACGTCGGTTCCTTGTGTCAACTGAGATGGGGACCGCCAGTGGACGAGAGACCACGCCTGATTTCGCTCAGAGCAAAAGCAGCGATTCTATGGGAAACGAGGGCAATCTCACCATTTCTGAGCCACTGCAATATACTACTGAAGAAGCTACCCTGGTGGAAACTAAAATAGACGGCATGCTTACCAGGAAAATCGATTTGTGGCCGCCTGAAGAAATATTTGAATTGCTGCCATTGCTGTTGAAGGTGAGAGCTGGTGAAGAGGTGATATAATTTCCTCCGTTGAGACATATGGAAAGAGGACTTGACCTTGCGATTGATCGATGAACGAGGCGAGGCATAAAGTTCGAGACCAGACGTCTTTAGAGAAAGGGAAAGTAGCATGTATTGATGGCTTCCTGGCACCTCATCAGCACAACATACGATTGTCACTGACACACAATTTTTATATCGCAATAGAGTTCTGTTTTCGAGTACGCCATCGACAAGCGCCTTGAACAAGATCTTCGCTTGGACGGCACACCCCTCGTTCCCTCCCTCGGTCGGCCCGAGAGCAAGTTTCGTCGTCGACTTGAGCACTCACGCTCCTTTTTGGCGAGCTTGAAATACTCAGAGCAGCAGCGCCTTGCACGGCAATGGATCGAAGGGCTGTTAGAGGCAGCGACTGAGAGCACGGAGGCCATGGACGAGCGGGTCTTCGAGCTGCTCACGTACGAGAATGGCGTGTTGGTGGAGCCCGTGCAGGAGGCGCTGGAAGACATGCTCCGTCGGCTCCGGTCCATGTCGCCCGACGAGAAAACACTGACCCAAGCCGTCTTGGAGACCCTGCAGAAGAGGGTGGAGGCCGAGGTCAGGACACGGGAGACGCCCTTCGTCCGGCTCTTGGCCCTGCTCCTCCGGCTCCACTCTCGAGACGATCGTGAGCGAGTGCTGCGAACTGAGCTCCGCAACAGCCGCGTAATTGAAGAGTTCGCGGCATACCTGGAAGAGGGAGCGGACTACGTGGCTCGACTGCGGCTAGGGCCTTGCTCCCTTCCCGAGGACACCTCAGACGAGATGCAGAAAATCCTGGCGATCCTACGAGACTTCACGCAAACCGGGGCGGGGGAGGGCGCGCAAGGCTGGACGAGAGGAGCGGCGCCTTCTGTTCAACCCTCTTTCCAGCCGAGGCCAGAGGACATTGGTAGGAGGGCGGTGGTGGACGTGGAGGAGGTCCGCGAGGGTGGAGAGGGGACTCCGTCGTAAGTTTAGGGCCAGAAAAGAAAGATTCATGTGAATGAGAGATGTACAGAAGCACTGTCGTAAGCAATGGGTAACAGCCGTACCAGCGAGCAATTATGGTACCCGCGTTTGTACATCATCCTCTTCGTTTGATACATAATCCCGGGGTTAGGGAGCCATCTGCAACAAATCAATCCACCCACGCCTTTGCCAAGCATTGTCAAGAACATGGCTGTGCCCCTCTAAATCTCTGTCACGTCGCCCTTCTCGTCGCTCGCCGAACCCCCTTGGTGGCGGCCCCGGGGGAAGAGATGGGGGGGTCGCGGGACGCGATATGGTTCTTGCCGCTGGCAGCCTTCATCGTAGTGCGAGGGAGGAAAAAGGGGGGGCAAAACCTTGCCCAACAGATCTCCGAATGCACTATTACCATCCCAGCGCCCGCCACTAAAGTTTTGCAAAGCTCCATCCAGCATGTGCCCGAAGATGTGCGCCAAAACGCCCTCCGCTCCCGAGCCCCGAGGCCCCAACCTGTCCTCATGCTCTACATCGCCTCTTACACTGCCCTCAGATCCCACACCGGGCCATGGCAATGGGGGCATGAGACCACGTTGGTGTGGGTACTCGCGGAAAAGCCCCTCTCCGCGCTCCGAGGCCTCATCGCTTTCCTGCTTGTGCCTGTATATCTCCACAGGTGCTTCTCCTGCGCCGTGTGATGGAAAGAGTGACATTCAAACTTCTCTGTTACGGGAATACTAACGCAACATGTGTTCTCATATGCTCCTCATACACTCATCGCTCTTCAGTACATTACACGCGCGCCGCCCCCCGGGATGATGTTCGTTAAACACACCTTGGCAATTGCGAATAATTTTTGTTAATGTCTCGGCCTTACTACTCCCATTGAGAAAGGAAGAGAAATGGGAGCGCACTGTAGAGTAGGAGCACTGCGGATGCTCTCTTTGGTCTTCTTGGATGGCGGCATGCATGTGGTCCCTGCCCGAACCGTCCATAATGCACTCCCCGGAAAATGACGAGCTCCTGGAAGAACGCTGGAAAGATTTCAATGGCGTGTGCGCCTGAAGCGTGATTCGATTATATTTGAATTAGAAACTGTGAAAACTGAGAGCGTGCCGGCAGTTCAGGGGCCCGCTATTCCGGTTAAGTATCATCGCTCCAGCGCCACGTCCTGATCGACTTCTAGATTGCCTTACTCGCACACTTTCGCTAAGGTTTTTCTCTTTCATAATAGCTTGAGATTTGCTCTGCCAGCTGCAGCAGAGTTGTCGCACTTTGAGAGACAAGCTCGCAAATAATTTCCCCTTTAGCTACCTCAGGCCTTCCCTGTCCTCCAAGCATTCCAAGCAGCCCCGATATCCCCCAGATATGCATATACCCGGTATTCGAAGCATTTTTCATTCAACTCATCATTTTTTTCCTTGTCTGAACAGGAGGCGGTAGAACTCAGACTGCAAACTGAAATCAAGAAATATTACCATACGTGTGCACTCCATTACTTCCATCTCATACATGCCCGTATTCGCCTTACAACTCAAGGCTGAACTTGAAGGGGTTTCAAGAATCGAAACAACAGGGCGCTACTGCGTGGACTTGAGCAAAGATGGAGAATGCAAACGAGGTGTATTCATCGACATGTCCGAGTCTGTGGCAATGGCAGACAGCCGCGGAACCTGTCACATGCAAATCAAGTTGCCTGGCATGACAAAACCCGCCAACTTGACTATCCTGGAAACAGCTCCGTACACAACAAGCGACAGCGGAGCTTTTCAAACAGTAGCGCGTATAGAGGCCCGAGGCGTGGATGTGGAGGCTTGGCGAGTTCGGGATGACTTTGTGGTTGTATCAGAGGGAGGGACTCGTTTTGAGGCGGCGAACCTGGTTGACGGAGACTACACAGAATACGACGAGGAGCATAACCAGGCGGTCTCAGTATTGGAGGTGGCGACAAACGTAGTTGTTGGGAAAGGCCCAAAAAGGTGAAGCAGGCGTGGCGCGATTATATACGCAGAAAGTCGTGTATGTTCGCAACGAGAGAGCACTCCGTACCTAGTTTTTTGTCCATTGCTTTTTCATGACTTTGTAATTATAATACAGAAAGTAGTAATGTTCGATAAAAGTCATAGAATGTTACGAGAGCACGATGGTACATGCTACAGAAACGGTGTGTCGCCCTGCTTTATTCTTTGAGTTATCTGACATTTTGTATCCTTTACTTGCCTCGAAAAATTTTGCGGGGGAATCTTCCTTCCTCGCAAATAGAACATGGGAGCTTCAGGATGCTCGCAGCGCAATCTCTACACAAATTCATCCCACAACTTCTCGCCGTCTGTCTCTCCTTCGTGCGTCTCAAAGCGCCCTAGTCGAAAAAGTAGGGGGAGTCCTTGACTTCCTCTAGCCTCAGCTTACCTCGCTGCGGGATCGGTGGGAACGCCACGTCCGGGAAGCGCGCGACAAGGGAGTCTCGTAGAGCCTCCAAGACAGGCTGCTCGTACAGAGTAATGAAGCACTCGCGGAGGGTGGCGTTCATCACCTCCACGTTGCTCGCGTGGCACCAGTAGCTGTCGTGCACAGCCGTGAAAGGCACGCCCAGGCCCTGCAGGCGGTTGGCAGTCATGAGCATATGGGTGGAGTCCAGGGAATGGACGAAGTTGGGGGGGAAGGCAGAGCGTTGACGAGAGGAGGAGACGGGGAGCTTGTCGTTGCAGTCAACCAGAATAACGCTCTGGATCAGCGTCTTGACGAGCAGGCCCTTGTCCCGCCGGTAGGGCTGGATGACCGGGAGGCCCAGGGGGGTCACCCAGGACATGGGCTGGCCTTGCCGGGCCACCAGGCTCGCGCAGGTGGAAAGCCACTCCATGATGTTCCGAGCCGCTGAGAAGAGCTCGGCCAGCTTGGAGAGCGTAATTGTGGCCACGTAGCGCGACGCCTCGTACACTTCCTGCTCCTCCTCCTTGGTCAGCATCCGCCCCTTCTCCCGCTCTTGGAACTTCTCCTTCAGACGCGCCTGAATCTGCTTCCGGGCCCCCACGTAGGTGACCCCGTACACGCTCGTCATCACCGTCTGCTTCACTACTTTTCGATTGATGAGGCCGTCCACGAGCCGGGCGTGCCGCTGCTGCCGTCGCTCCTCCTCTGTCGCCGTCCGGCCCAAGGCGCGCGTGGCCTCGGAATGGACGTGCTTGATCACGCGGTCGCACACACCTGTGTACACATCCCGGGGCACGGCCGAGTGGATCAAATTCACCTGCTTCGCCCCCTCCTCGTCCCTACCAAGGGCCGCATAGTGCTGCAGCCCGTTACAGGAGCCGTCCATGTGCACCGGCACGCCTGACAGGAAGCTCTCAGGGTCCCCGCTCTCCACGGCGGCCACGATCTCCTTGCACACTGCCAGAGCCTGCCACGGCTCTTCCGCCTTCTGCCACCATCCCTGGCCGTTCAACGGCCGCGCCGCTGAATCCTGAACATTCTCCATTTTCTCCTCAACGAAGGCCACCCGGTCGTCGAAGGACAGCTTGTCTTGTCCACACAAATTGGCCAGGTGGATTTTCAACCACCGAAGCCCATTCTTTCCCAAGGGCCGCTTTTCTGCGAATCGCAGCATACCACGACACATGTCCGAGCCCAGATGGTTCAGATTTGGAGGCACAGGGTAGGCCCTGCCCCTGAAGTCCAGGTTGTAGGGAAAATAAAAGGTGTGGTTGCGAAACTCCTCTGCGATGCCGAGTTTGATCTCTGTGTCACAACGGAGCGAGAAAAGCTCCGCGTTGCGTTTCTTCACGCGCCGAGCAATCTGCCAGCGATCACGCAGAAGCCGGCGCTCCTCGGCCCTCCTGCCTGGCACCCCGTCCTCTTCAGCTCCCAGGAGGGCAGGGTCCGCAGGCGGGGGATGGGACGGATGACCGGAGAGCGGCGGGACAAGTTCATCCAACTGGCTAGGCAGGTCTCCCACCGTTAGCCCCCGAGCGTAGGCCTCTTGGATGGTGCTTAACACCTCCCCGTTGATGACCCAGGGCACGCGGCCCAGAAAGTTGAGCGCGTGATAGACCTCCGGCATGCGCGCGCCCCGCAAGGCGTCGAATTGGGCCTTGGAGTTCTGAGAGCGGACGATGAAGGACTTGAGCTGCAAGTATCCGCCCGAGTCAAAGGACTTCCAGGGCCGGGGCTGCACCACCATCGGCCGGTACCGCGGGGTCAGGTAGTGCTGGACATCCGCGGCGCCAGCCATGCTCCGGTAGACGGCCTCGTCCAGGAAGACGAGCCCGCGCTTCTTGATGCTGTGGGTGCTCTCTAGTGCGATGGATAAGGCGGGCGGACGCTCCACTTCCCTGTTTGCCGAGGTCAAGGCGTCAGTCGAGTCTGCCCCTCCCTCTGCCCCCCCCCCAGCTTGGTCTAACCGCGGCGCTTGCAGCCGCATTCTTTTTTCCAGGCTTTTTTCTCTCCCAGGCCCAACCTCGGGCCCCTCCAGCCCGTGAGCTTCCTTCGCGCCGTCCAGCAGACATTCAGGAGAGATCTTTGCGACACGGTGGAGCTCGCTGAGGAGCATGCCGCCAACCTTGATCTTCAGGTCCGCCCGCCAGACCCCATCCTCGAGCGCCTCCCGCGCCTTCCGGTTCACGCGCTTGAGGCTGATCATTCCGTTTTCCCGCAGAATGTTCAAGACCCGGTCCCCGTAGGTCTCACTTAGGCGCAGAAAGTTCACCTCGGTGCGGACGGCGTCGGCAATGTGGAGGAGGAGCATGGTCAGGGGCACGCCCTGGTTGCCGTGGCGGAGGATCAAATTCACCGTCTCATTCACGGTGATTACGGCCAGCTTGTCGGGAGGGACCAGGATCAGGAAGGGTCCGTATGTGCCCACGCCGTTGCCCAGGTCGGACCACTTCCCCTCGCGGAGTTTGGCGTGCAGGGCGGTCATCGCCTCGATCATGGGGCCGTACCTGGGTTAGGGGAGGGGGGGAGGAGCTTGACGGACGCGGAACTAAAGGGGTGTGCATGTCCAAGCCCAGGCGAAGAGAGGGAGCGAGGGATAGACAAGCCGACCGAGGGAGACTTCTTACCAGGCGAATATCTGCCGCTTGACCACAGGGAGGTAGGCCGCCTTCCCCGTCCGGAAGAGGGTGTCCTGGACCTCCTTGTACTCAGCCAGAGCCTCGCTGATGGTGCCCTCCTCGAAGGCCACCTCCAGGTTACGCAGCTGCTCTCTCTTTGTGTTGACGGATGAGGGGCGCGCGTGCGGAGCCAGGTGCTCTTTAATCTGCTGCAGACCTTCGTGTGACCCGCCGCCCTGCACGCTCTCCGGCCCCAATGGGGGATACATATCTTCCTCGATTTCATCCAGGAAAAAGGCCGTCTCATTGGCTTCTCCAATCAGCATGTTACTGTTGCTGCGCCCTCCCGCCTCTGTGTCCCGACCAGACACACCTCTGACTCGCGCCCCCCCCTCCTCGGCCCACCCCGGCCGCATCAATGCCGCCGCCTGATCGCGCAGACTCTCGATAGTAGGCGGCAGCATAGGCTGATCTCCTTGTCGGAGACGCCGCTGTAGAATGTCCATCTCTTGCTGCTGCTTCAGAACGTGGTACAGCTCTTTGAAGGAGTCGGTGCTGTTGGCCCTTCGGGTCTCGGTGCTGCTGCTTTCCAGGGCGTTGCCACAGTCGGAGATGATGGCTGAATCAGAGGTGAAGACGGATGCTTGGGCTTGGATTGATCGAGCCTCAAAAGAAGGGGAGGACGTGGGCAGGATAGAAGCCACGGAGTTGGAAACAGTCGTACGGTCCCAAAGCCGCCGCGCCGCTGCCATGGCCCTCAGCGGAACACCATGAGGTCGGCTCTTACTTATGATTGGAAGGCCCTGGCCCACCAAGTGGTACCTTCCCTTCCCATAACTTTTCGCGCAACCTGCACGCAGCATAGCTGCCACTTGTTGATCTCGAGTCCTTCGCTGCCAGCCTCGTGGATGGTATAGTATGTACAGATGGAAGAGCCTGAATGGCAGTGGAGGGCTTCTATTTGCGCTGCCCGTGCCCCGTCCCTCCCTCCCTCCTGGGCCTAGATGCCTGTGAACAAGAAGTTTATTGTGTTGATGTGATATTTTCCCAGGAAGAAAGCCAGGTTAGGAGGTTATGAAATCTGCAAAGTAGCTTACGGCAGCGGCGTAACCTCGTGGCCAAGGCGGCATCCTCGCTCCTCTCTCACGGCGACGTTCCCCTCCCTCTGTGCTCTCCCTCTCCCCTCTCAAAGCCTGCTCGGAGCGCACCCGTGGTGCGTATGCCACAGTTTGGCTTGTCCACGACTTCTCGACCTTACGATTGCTCTCATTTTCCCGGAAGGGTCATCATCAGGCGCCTGACTCTCCATCGGCCAGTCTACGCGCGCTTTAGGATGAGCCCGCACCACGCACCCCCCTTCAACCTACAACTTTACTATGGAGCCCGCCGGGTCGTGCCAGCCATCGTTGCTTTGCTTTGTCTCATCCGCCTTACCCAAGCCTTTCTTGCCTTTCCGTATCAGGGGGGCAAGCATTCGCAAGTGGTATTTGTTCGGAAGCCCTTCCTCCTCGTCAGTAATGATGGACTGGATAGCCAAAGCGTCGACGAAGCGATCATGAAATCCGCCATGGCTGCCATTCAAGAGGATAAAGCGCAAAGGCAACAAAAGAAGCAAGAGCAAGACAGTATACAGGATGAAGGACCCAGAAATTTACGTGATTTCTATAGCGTAGAGGCAGCGGTTGAGGAGATGGCTGAGGCGGAGGAGCGGTATGTGCAGGCCCGGGCTCGGCGGGAGCGATTTCTAATGGAGGCGCAGGCTAACTTTAGGAAATTGGCAGAAAGGGCCGATGAAGAATTACAGGCTTTTGTTGCTGAGGAGGAGGCTGCGGCACAGGACTTGGAGAGAAGAGCGAAGGAGGTGAGAGAGGTGAAAGAGGAAGTATCGGTCTTGGTGAAGGAGGCGGACGAGCTACGAGCTGGAGGCAAGGGCCTCCTTGCCTCCGTCGACCTCGTGTTGGCCTTATCAATCCTGGTGGTTCTGGATACCTTTTATGTGAGCTACTTGACTTATCGCGGCAGCGACCTTGTGAGCTCCTCGCTGGCCACGGAGGCTCTTTTGGGAGGCGTCTTGTTCTTCAAGGTACGACTGGGAGTGACAAGGCTCGAGAGCTTTCGTGCCTGTGACAACTGTGACAACGTCGTTCTAGAGATCCTACATAACATGCATCAAATCTTCTTTGTCCACTCTGCATGGCACAATTTACAGATCAAGCAACGAGAGGCAGCCCAACTGGATAAAGAGAAAAGTAGACCTGACGATGGAAGCAACGAGAGGAGAAATTTGCGAAATGGGTCATAAAAGAAGAGACTGAATTTATATGTGTGAATGGATAAAGGTGCTACGAAGAATAGCGTGGTGATCAAAATACAATGGAGGCTATTTCCGCAAAGCAATCGAATAACAAATCTTCGTGGCCCGCTTGCCGACTTGGTACTACTGTGAACAGACACCGACGACCTGACGTTTCTCTCGCTGGCTGAATATGATGGAGGAAAGATGTCATATCTTTCGTTGGAGGCATTCACTCCATGCACTGCGCGTTCAGGCTCAACCTTTTCACCCTTTAAGTCGCTTCCTCTTCTTGCCCCTTCTTTCGGCCTCGCTGCGCCCTGTGCGCGACGTACTCCGTATAGTTCCCCGCGAACATTTTCACCGAACCAGCGCCCTCGAAAGCGAGGGTATGGGTACAGACGCGGTCCAGGAACCAGCGGTCGTGCGAGATGACGACCGAGCAGCCGGGGAACTCCCGCAGAGCCTCCTCCAGCGCCCGCAGCGTCTGCACGTCAAGATCGTTCGAGGGCTCGTCCAGGAATAAGAGGTTGTGCCGACGTTTCATCACCTTGGCAAGGTGCACGCGGTTCCGTTCCCCCCCGCTGAGAGAGCCGACGAGCTTCTCCTGCATGGAACCCTTCAGGTTGAAGGCCGCCAGGTAGGCGCGAGTGTGGACCGTTCGACCCTCGAGAACGATCACGTCCTCGGATTGCGCCACCTCCTCATAGACGCTCTTCCTGTCGTCGAGCTCCTGGTCGCGGACCTGGGAGACCAGGCCCAAGCTCACGGTTGAGCCTATCTGCACGGACCCGGCGTCTGGCTCCGCCCGCCCGCACAACACGTTGAACAAGGTGCTCTTTCCGCAGCCGTTCGCTCCGATTACCCCCACAATCGCGCCCGCCTCCAAATCGAATGACACGTTGTCAAACAGAACCTTGCTCGAGACGCGCTTGCTCAAATTTTCCACCGTCATGACACGATCGCCCAGCCGAGGTCCCGGCGGGATGACAATTTTGCCCGTTTCCAACTGGTGAATCTTATCCGCAAGACCCTGCTGCTCAATTCGGCGCACCTCCACCGCCTTTACTCTGGCCTTACTCGCCTGCTTCGACCGCAGACGGATCCACTCGAGCTCTGCCTGCAGAGCGCGAGCCTGTGCTGCCTCTTTTCCTCGCTCCAGGTCCAGACGAGCGGCTTTGTGCTCCAGCCACTGTGTGTAGTTGCCTTGGAAGGGAAGGAGCGACCCTCGATCTACCTCCAGCACCCACCGGGCAATATTGTCTAGGAAGTATCGATCGTGCGTAACCGCGATAACCGTCCCTCTGTACTCTTGCAGAAACCTCTCCAGCCAGGCCACCGAGTCCGCATCCAGGTGGTTCGTGGGCTCGTCCAGAAGCAACACGTCCGGTTGTTCCAATAACATGCGGCATAGAGCTACGCGTCTCCGCTCTCCTCCTGATAAAGATATAATGGAAGCGTCTGGTGGAGGTAAGTGTAGAGCTTTCATCACAGTATCAACGCGGTGCTCCACATTCCAGCAATCCAAAGCCTCGATCCGCCCTTGCAACTCGGCCTGCTCCTCCAACAGCTTATCAAGATCCGCATCCGTTTCCCCCATTTTCATCGCAATTTCGTCAAATTTCTGCACTAGCGCCTCTTGCTCCGCGATGCCCAATCTCACGTTTCCTTTCACATCAAGCGCAGGGTCGAGCTGTGGCTCTTGCGCAAGGTACATAAACTTTACATCTGGCTTCCGCCATACCACCCCGTGATGCTCCTGGTCCACGCCACTGATTATTTTTAATAGAGATGACTTCCCAGAGCCATTCACGCCCAAGACACCGATTTTTGCCCCCCGGAAAAAGGATAGCCTTGTGTCTTTCAGGAGCACGCGGCCTCCAGGTAAAACTTTCGTCACGTCAGACAAACTACAAATGATTTCTCCTGTCGATGGCGCATTGGAGGGATTAGAGCCGCCTCCTTGGCAAGAGTATAGCCGATATCGATGTTGAAGCCCTAACCTGGGTAATGCAAGCCGTAGTTTTGCAAGACGTTGAAGTATTGGGGGCATCGGGGCTGTAGCTCCTGTCGCGACAGGAAATAGAAAAATGTATGAGGTAACATGTCTTTAAATCCAATACGGTAGGAAGAAATGTAAGAATACATGAAGCTGTAATTGTGCTTCCCAAGAAGGCCGGTCAAACAGAAATCGGCAGGAGGTATCAAAGTAACCCTAGCCCCCCATCAGGCCAACGACGACGTCAAGACAATATGGGCCACTATATAACCTCCTCTCCATCTAGTGGAAAACTACCAGGAAACATCATAGAGCCGGCTTTTAATGTAATTTGTGGTATTCAAATACGTAAATTATACTTATAAATTGTATGTTTGAAGAAAAATTGCATCATTCAGAAAATTTTAGACTCGTACATCAGAATTTTGATTTTCCTTTGGAAGACTATGGCATCTCTTCAGCTCTCTTGTTTTACTCCTTCCTTCAATTGAAAAGACATTCAACTCTTTGGAATCATAGAATATTTTTTTTAAAAACTAACTTACATATGACCTTTACCAAGCCAACGCCATAAATGATAGGGCGATTGATAGGGCGAATCATCCATGGTGCAGTTTTTTTACATGAGGAAGCATTGTCCAGCCACAAGCATCTTTTTTAGAGGCTCCCTCAGACTATCTTCCACGTCTTTGTCCATTCGACTTGCAATATGCATCGATCTCAACCATTTTTCTCGCTCACTTTGCGACGAGGCCTGCAACGTATGTACACGTGCGCTTGGGTCGTTTTTCTTCTTCAAAACGATACCGTATGGAAGGCCCCGTTCCGCATCGGTCGAAGGCTCAAAAGTAAATTCTGCCAGATCAATGGCTCCGCGGATGGATTGGTCATCCTCATATCGAACGTACCATAATAATCTTCCCGCTCGCACGACAAACCACCGCCGTTGATAGAAGCCTGTTATCTGCCCCCGCTTGAAAAGGAAGCCCTCGAACGATGCTGCCCCCTCTTGGAAAGAGGACACAGGCAGATTGAGTCCATCTTTAATTCCTGGTATTTTCTCGAGGTCTGTTGAGGAGATCATGGGGTGATTTGTCTTAATTGAGAAGGAGAAGGACGTGTCAAGGGGCGAGGCCGGAGCTGTAAAGTTGTTCTCTCGGGCGGGAGGCTGAAAAATCTGCCCCGGTTTAGGGACAGGCGCTTGTTCTTCCTCTCCTGTCCTTTCTGCTTCGGCATCTTCCTGAGCTGACGCGGATACACCTGCTCCTTCCCCCCCCGCCATTTCGATTCGGTCGAACTGGGAAGCTGTCTGCTCAAATTCGGTCGCTTCACCTGCTCGCACTTGCTGCTCGGCAATTATCAGCCGTTTAGTCTCATTTTCCGAAGGCCCGTCTTGCTCTGCTACAATTGCACCCTCCTCTTCTTCCTGATTTTCCTCCTCTTCCTGCCCTTCCTCGTCTTCTTCGTTTCCTCCCGCTGCTTCCTTTTCCTTTTGCTCCGCTTCTCCATGTTTTTTTTCTTTCGAAACATCTTCTCCTCCCTCCTCCTCCGCCTCCTCCTCTTCCTTTTTCTGCCCCTTGGCTGCCCCGGCCTCCTCGCACGTAGCACCAGCGGCCTCTACCCCGTGCACCCGGCTCTCCTTCCCGCCTAGCCCACTTCCTCCTCCTGCGTCCTCTTCATCGTCATTCTCCTCGGCATCAATGAGCGTCGGGTAGGGTAGAAATTTTCTTGTGGATACTATGTTAGGGCAAGCGCTTGTGTGTCCTGGGACAGATAGCTCGCACAGCCCTCCCCCCTTCTTCGTGGCCCCCTTGATTACTTCCAAAAGTCTGTCCATATCAACCCTTTCGCCTCCCTCGAGTGACAAGGCTTGCCGCATAACAAACAGCTCAGTGTCCTTCGCTGCCTCTCTTTCTTGAGCTGAGGCCAACTGCAGGGTCAAGAACTCAATCTGATCCTGCATTGAACGGATTTTCTTGGTGAGTGGATCCTCGTTCACCACGGCCTGGTTGACGATGCTCTTCGCTCGATCTGCGTAGCGCAGGGTGCTCAAGCTTTCTTCATAAAAGGCAAGACCGGGGCGGATCGTAGCCTGAGTGAGAAAAGGAAGAAGAAAGGAGATCGGGAGGGAGGAAGTTCATATTTGACATACAACAGAGCGGCACCCCGCCACTTTACTCACTGCCTTCGTATGCTTCTTACCAGCATGGTCGTCCTACTATTGCCGCCCAGAGAATCCTTGAGCAGAAACGTCAGCACCGAGTCCCGATAGGGCACCACTGGCTTCCCGTTCCCGAGGACGGGGCTACCCCCTCGGTGACGGGCCGTGGCCAAAGCTTTGATGACCAGCCCGAGAGTCAGAAGGCTCTTGTTGATGCTGCCGCCTTCCTTCAGCCGTTCTCCTTTCGTTCCTGATTTTCCAGCACTCTCACTACCGGCCAAATCAATAAGGGATAGCTTTGAAGTCTGCTGCGAAAGCACGACGGGATTCGGCGTGTCTACCTCTTGTTTGATTTTCGTGTACTGGATGGTGAAGACTGCGTGGCTCCGACTGCTCGTGGCATTCAAATCGGTGGCAGCTACCATTCGATTTGCATTTCCGATCTCTAGTAGCGCCAGCACTTCTTCGTAGGAGTTCACCCGGGTGGAGACCGCGCCGTCGACGTAAGGACCGTATTTAGGATGTTCCCGCACACGCAGGGCAGCGCCTGGGGAGGACACCGGCGACGCGGTTCCGGGCGAGGCAATCCCACCGGCGTTAGTAGAAACACCACTAGTGGTGGTGTTAGGACTCGATGCTTGCGCCCCTAGCAAGTCGTGAACCCTCTCCAAATACAGCTCCACGTAGGTTACATCGAAGGCGTGCGTCACCTCGAATTTTTCCACCGCTGCAGATTCGACACCGAAGGTCGTACCACTTTCTGGGTCCTTCTGCACTTCTTTTGATGTCGCTGTGGCTGCGAAAAGGGCCTCGCTGATACGTGGTATTAAGCCTCGCTGCTCGCTGGCAATGCTGTCATATTTTCCCATCATGGTGTATGTCTTTCCTGAGCCCGTCTGGCCGTAAGCGAAAAGACAAGTATTATACCCAGCCAGAACGGAGGAGACGACAGGAGTCCCTAGGTCTTCAAAAACACTCAATTGGGATGATTCAGGTACTACAATGGATCCACCCGATCCGTGACTCGCCGAGCTCGAGCTGCCGTTGGGACCAACCCCTCCACCAAGGGACCAATGTATCGAGTCAAATTGGAAGTTGTTGACTGCCCCGCGTTGGCCATCGATGTAAAGTCCTGTATTAGCCATATTTTCTTGAGGGAAGACACAGAGACTGTCTGGACCTTCAGGGAGTGCATCCACGCCCTTGACACGGACAGCAACTGTACACGTCGATTCGTGGGTTATTGTGAGTTAGTATGTCAGATTGTGCAGGATGAGCCGAGACTATGACATCAACAGAGGCATAGACAACACTTATTGAGAAGGAAGTGATTTGACATCAATTCAATTTGATACTGGAGCATGGGTAACCATGCAAGCCTAGGGGGAGTGAGACTCTAACCTGTTACGTGATCGTCACCGTCCATTTCCTTTATGCCCTCATCGAAAGCATAGCTGGGAGACTCCATTGAAGCAATAAATGGTAAGTCTGGAAACCACGTGAGGATACTCTGTGTGCTAGAATACAGCGCAAAAGTGTCAGGAAGCGAGGATTAGATTTCCGTTAAAGCAATCCGGACCCACTTTTCTCAAGCATTCTCAAGAACACCAGTTCTCACAGATTTGGTAGATACGAGTATAAACAATGGTAGATAAGCATTAATATATGGGTTGAGCTCTAAATTTTGCCAGGGAAAGTCTGCCAAGTCAGTGGCGCGAGAGGCAAGAGGAGTGAAGGAGCCCCTGCTCCTGCAAATCGTTCTCATCTAAATAATCAACACAAACCGATAGTGGAATGGGAACAAGATGATAAATCTTATTGTTCGGCGCTGTTACACGTGACGTGGGATCTCACACGTCTTTGAAAATAAGCTGTGGTCTTTTTGAAACCCATAAGGCTTGTGTCGGGCAGGGACGGTGCCAACTCGTTCAAATATTTGAACGGTTTGGCCTCCTATTTAAATTCAAATTTGAAGATGAGACATACGCCGACGAGGAATACACGCCGAAATGCTCCATTAAATTTTCCTCCTGCGCTAGATTATCGCGCTCATTTTTCTGCAGCTGTAAGCAAATTGTTATCCTTTATTTTACTCTAGTTTTCACGCTTTAACGCTTTTTTGGTGCTTGCCCATGGCATATCCAAGCTGCATTTCACAATCCCACCAATTTTCTAAGTGCCCTCCACCTCCTCAGCAGGAGTCTTTCTCCAAATCCTGAATGCTTTTCCGCATTCCTTCATGGCTTCCCGATTTAATCTGAATTATGTGTCAAAAAATCTCTCCAGAAAGCTGTCCACACTTATCCTTCGTGTGTTCCCCCAGATCCAGGGTGTCTTGTCTCGAGTCCTGCCGTCCCCTAATGCCTGGCTAGTTCATCACATATCCTTAGCGCCTTTCTAGCAAAAAACCTAACATCTCGATCAGAGTCATTGAGCAACTCTTCCAGGCAGGGACGAACCTGAGAAGGCAACACAGCCCCTTCTCTTTCCACGACTTTTGGAGCAAGCGTCTCCAGAGTTTTTGCGAGAGTGAAACGAATGTTGGGGACAGGATCCTTGTTAAGGTGCAAGGCGAGTGGAAGGGCCTCAGAGACAAGCACGTCTTCGCTGAGCGATTCGGATAGGACCTGAAGGGGCATAAAGGGCGATAACAAGGGTTATACACCTTGATTAGCTTTGAAGTCCTCCGAAATCAAAATGTCGCCCAAAGCCATCGAAAGAGACGCCGTGGGACGTTTAAGACAAAACAGGGCGAGATAATACTAAATGAATAGGTTGAGCAATGTTCACTTACCTGGATTGCGTACAGGGCCGTCATCCGC